ACTGCTGACTGGCAGGTATCTATTACTGCACCGTTTCGTGGAAATGGATGATTCCCATTCGCAGCGAACTGCAGAGTGTGCCAGTGTGGTGCTTCCCATCTGACCTGCCCCTAGCCGGGGTGCTGCGGTGGGGTGGGACGGGTGGCGGGTGAAGTCCATATTTCGGCACCAACGGGTCACATTCCAGCAACGGCGTCAATCGCAGTGTCCCTCTCCATAAAGAACCTGGCTCCACTTTGCGTGCCGTTGCTGTTGAGTGAAAATTGTTGACGCTTCATTCCCAAGAAACCGCTGTCGGTATACCTACGTAGCTTGCACGTTTCCAGAAAAGGGGGTGGCGTTCTGAGGCACGTCTGGCGCCGCAAATCGGTATCGTATCGACAGGAATGTTACCGCTGACCACAAACATGGCAAGCAGTGATAATAGGATGAGTGGCTACATAGGTACATGATTTGACATCGTCTCTCACTTACTGAAATCGCGCTATGAAACTTAGGCATCATAAATACGAAAATCGTGTATGTAAAATCACAACGTCAAAGTCTAATTAAGTTAACATTGAAGTCAATCAACAGGACATCGCGCAGTACTTATCCCAAGTAATCCATCAGTTTCATGAGGCGCATATTTTGATTGTCTATTTTGTAAGTCAATTTTCTTTGAATATATGCACACGCTCATCCTCGCTTCGATCAAAGCCGTGAATACGATTGTATACCTTACACACATTTTGATACGCATCTAGTCGGCCAATGGGCCGGAAGGCTCATTAATAATTTTTACAATTTAGATACAATTTTGGCGCCAGATTAACTTTGGCGTCTTGTCACATGCACATTGCATTGGTGTATATTCCAATGTTTTATGTTGCTGGGTGCTGCCCATTGTATGTATTATCACATCTTATTTAGTTTGCGCGCCGTATGCCGACCTCAACAGTGCAGTGCAGAAACTGTTAGCTCTGCAGTGGGCGTTGTTTACTGCGCTGAGACGGTACCTACAGGCTACATATGCTCAATGGCTAGTTTGGAGTCTCCTCACGCTTTTTATGCAGCCCTTATTCATGGTTCATGCCGCCAGCGGACTTTCTTGCTCCTGAGTTGAATGCTAAATGTATCTCTGTGTAATTAATTCGTGGGTTAAGTGTTGATTGAAAAGCTCAGTTGTGACCTTGTCATGAGACATATCCTGCACCACGATCGTGGATACATCGTTTCTGTGAATTAATGCTGCCTATTATGCGAGGTGCAACGTAAAACATCGAAAGCAACGATCGCTCGGTTCTTGTATACATGTGCAATGGGCTGTTTACACTTTGACTCCGATGTACACGATAACGAGGGTTGTGTATTAGTGGTCTCATGTTACTCGGTAATCGAAATGGACTTTATGGTCCATTTCCAAATGTTTGCACGTACTCTGCAGCTATATATCGCTCATCAGATTAAATTCTTCTCCAATTCCTTTCTTTCTATAGTGTAATGCCTCGTTTTGGGTTGATTTCTATCCCCCTCGTCGTCTGACCCCTTCATCGCCGGCCGATTGTCTCCGCTGCTCCGAGGTCAGGCGGCTGGTGTCAGTCGTCTGGCGTAGTCCCAGCGTGGTCCGATGTGACGGCGAGGTCGCCGCGCCGACCCGTCTCCGCCGCCGGCCGCCGCCATGTGTTGTTTGTTATCGCGGCCTCTCACGCGCGCCGCCCGGGACACGATTCAGTCCCGCCGCCCCCTCCGCCCCGCCGCGCTGTGAACCCTTCTCCCGTCACTGCAGCTCCGACGAATGCCACATGGGGTTTGCCGGGGCGCCGTTTTTGCGTGGTCGAGCGGCCGCCGGTTCTGACTAATCCCGTGACCGAGCCGACACCGGTCAAATTTCGCCACACAGCTCAGCCGAGAGTGGTGAGGAATGTCGCTGTCCGAAGCTGAAGCTCGAGTGGGTGGTGAGGGCGGCCGCGCATCGCACGCTTCCACACCGCTCGGACGTTTCACCGAGTGCTCTCGGTTATGGGATGAAGATGGAGAGATAGCCGCCAACGGCGCGGCGCTGGCGGCGGGGCGGAGATGAGTAGCTCAGGACACGCAGCGCGTGTTCCGCAATCAGGCCTGCGGGGTGGGAGTGGGGGACCGGACGGAGTGGCCTCCCGGTCAGCTCCATCCAGAACACAACACACACACCTCCGGCTCTCACCTCAGTCAGCTCTTCCATCCGTGACGACAGCGGGTGCACACGGTCCTATCAAGGACCACAGCGAGGGAGGTCCTATTCCGGTGAGGGCGAGTCGTGCCCTGGATAGTATCCTATAGAACAGTCCTCATCCTGGCGGCACTGAGGACTGTTTCCTGATCCGTGACTGCAGCGAGGGCGGTCCTACTCAGCAACTTGGCAAATTTGCGTTATGCTGGAAATAGCAAACAACTTTCGAACGCCCCAGCGACGTGCACTGGAAGAAGGACATCTAAATACAATAAAGCGGCTACGTTAGAAAATATGGATCTGCCCTTAGCCTGTTCCGCCTCTCGCTCCGCTGCTCCGAGGTTTGCTGTATACGGTAAGACAACACAGCGTGGTGCGTACAAAACAGCGTGGCACAATGCATAGTGCATAAGACATCACAGCCCAGACACAGCACGACATGGTCCGGCAGGGCATCGCTGCACTTCACCTGCACTACAGCGCCAGTGACCAGTGTTCACTGGTAGTCGGGCTTGAATACTAATGGCCAATTCTTCAGCGCGACCACCCGGACATTAAGATGTGCTTGTACTCGGCTCAAACCATTGGATTTGGTTATCACAGACGTGAGATTCCTGTCCTCGTGCCATAGGCGTTGCCCGCGAGCCGTGGCTGCTTGCGAGTGGTATCAAGTTTGTGAATAAGTTATACTTGTATTTTTACAGTTTGGTAGACTGTACCGGGTACCCGCTTGTAAAGAACGAACGGTGGTTCCAAACTAGTGCTGCAAATACCTATGCATCACAAATGATCAAATATTAGCATTATTGCTACACCTATCCGATTAGCCGTCGGGTTTTATTCCGTTAATTAATGTTCAGACAATGTTCCGGTCCCTCAGAGCCACTCTGGAACATGCATTACATACTGCGCGGTAATCTGTGCAGAGACCCGGAGCGAAGTGTTCTGCGGCGGTCAGCCATCGTCTGCAGAGATAGCGCTGAAGATAGCCGCGAACACCGTGCTGCCGTAACCGGTTATCGGCTGCCGTCTCGGCCCTGCCCCGGTCGTGCAGTCGTCAGCAGACGGCTGGACGCTCTGAACCGAATGGGGCGGGCTCTTCTGTGCAGTATATGAGGTGGGGATAGTCTGAAAGTACGCGTATTTAGTAGGGCTGGTCTGAGTGGAGAGGGGAAGCTGGCAGCCTGCATGGTGAGTGGTTGGATGGCCACGGACGGTCACCGGCATGTCTGTGCATGCTGTGCAAGTGCGCAGTGTGCACTGTGCAGTCCAACAGGCTTTCCATGGTGCCCTCGCGACCAGACTCGGTAATAACGGATGAGACTGGTCTTGATGCTTTGACAGACATACATCTCACCGCGTCTTTGTTACTATGTGACGAACTGACGAGCCGGGATAGCCGCTGCAAGCTTTCAAGCAGCGGTGCACAAACACACGCATGGGCACCGGCAGCCATATACATACATAGACAAAGGCCAGCTCAGCCGAACATCCGGGTCATATGAACTCGCTGACTCTTAGGTCCAATGTTGTTCTTTATGTGGGCCGTTGCACTGCAGGGTCAATGCTTATTCGTCCATGCCCAATAAGAGGCTAGCATTGAGTGACATCTTGTGATAGTCAGGGGCCCGGGAACGATTTTCAAGTTGGGGGGGGGGGGGGGGGCGAGCCTTAAATACCTGACATGATGCATATGAAACAGTGGCGTAGCTAGGGGTCTAAGGGGACACGTACCCACCCACCCACCCCCCATCGGGATAAAAGGGGCCATCGGGTCCCAGGGGCCCTGCGGCGCCATTTGACCGTTGAGGGTTAACGATGGCCATATTTCTACTCAGAAGGGCCCCATGGGGCTCGTCAGAGCACCTCATGGGCCCTAAATAGCCACACTAAGATCTCCATAAGGGTCCCACGCCGGCTTCTGAGGGCCTTTTGCGGCTTTTAAGGGCACCTCGGTGATCTCCAAAGGCCCGTTACTGGCCTCTGAGAGGTCTTACCGGCCTATGATGGGCCAGTTCTAGGGGCATTTCCCGCCTGTGATGGTCCCACACTTTCTGAGGGCCCCATAACGGCAACTGTGGGGCCCTCGTCGGCGCCTATGAGGGCCCACACCGGTGTCTCTGAGGGTTTCACACCCCCAACTCTGAGTGCCTACACCAGTGCCTATTAAAGCCCTATATCGGCGGCTCTGAGGACCCAACCAACACATGCGCATCTAAAGGCCACCCACTGGTGACTTTTGAGGGCCCCACACCGGTGACTTTGAGGGCCCCACCGGCATCTGACAGTACCATGCCGGTCTCTAAGGACCCCACAGGACGTCTTCTGCCGGCAAGGAAACAAGAAGGAAAGAAGTCCGGAAAAGGGAGGAAAGATCTTTTCTCGCTGCCTCAAAGTTGAGGGGGCGCCGCCCCCTCGGCTCCCAAGTTGGGGGGGGGGGGGGGCAAGCGCCCCCGCTGCCCCCCCTGTTCCCGGGTCTATGGTGATAGTGCCTATCGAGGTGTGATAGGCTGTTCGACATCTCGTTTAACTTAAGGTGTGATAGGCTGCTCGACATCTCATTTAACTGATTCTTAGTACGGTAATAGCCGTTGAATATTGATGGTCAGACATGATAGCACATTATACCTATTTCTTTGTGCTGACTCGCTTTGTCGTAAATCGCCAGCACATCGACTTCGGACTCTCAAATATTTTCTTGTATAGGGCTTGTAGGTAGGTATTTTGGAATCCAAGACAAACTATTTAACAATATTAACGCGATATCTTTGTTGTGATATATCACGCTGCTTTGTCTCCTTTCCAGGCGGATATTAAGGCGTTTGGTGGCCATGGCTTGCCGAATGGCGTGGACGTTACTGCTGATCAGTGTCGTCAATGTCCGGAGGGGTACCGCCATATCGGAAGGTAAGGTCAGCGTCCGGAAGGGGTACCGCCAGGTCAGAAGGTACGGTCAGCGTCCGCAGGGCTATTGCAGTTTCGCCATCAGCGACCGATTTCATAAAGCTTGGTAGGATTTTACACCAGGATGGATTTTACGCCCTAAGAAACTACACCCTCGAAGAGCAAGTGGTTTTACAGGGATCGGAGGGCATGTTTGCGCGAATTATATGTTTTCGTTTGTTTTAATTGTATAGACTTCTTAAAACGTTGTTAATGACATCATATGGTTTTATCTGCAATCACTTTTTGAAACCGTTTGGCCGTTAAATGCAGCCTGGGCCTCGTTTCATAAAGCGAGTCCGTAACTTACGCCGGTTTTCGGTCTTGTATTGCAAGTGCATGTGAAGCGATAAAGTTATTTCCTCCTCTCCCTTCTGTTCTTGCTTACAAGATAAATAGATTCAACGATTCAAATTTCAAACTATCGTCATCGCTTCACATGCACTTGCAATTCCAGACCAAAAACGGACGTAAGTTACGGACTCGCTTTATGAAACGAGGCCATATGAGTGGAAACTTGTGTCAGTTGCATTTTACGCCCTTTTAACCCGCGCACCGACGGGGGGGGCGGATATCCGCCCCCCCCTCCTGAGGTTTTTCGTGGATAGCGGGAAAACCGCGGCGCTACGCGCCGCGAAATTTGGTACGACTATTTTTTCATCAATTTTACACATGGTGTGCAAGTTTGAACCTCCTAACTTTTAAGGTCAGGTCACCAGGTCACTTTGAATGACCCAACCTCAAGTCACTTTTTTGCAACTTTGTCACCGTGCCAGAGCTACAGTAGATGTCGGAGGCCTTTGAAAGTCGCAGGATGTTATAAGGTCATTAGTAGCTACAATTTGTATATCTCAGAATTTTGATGTCGGTGACCTAAGGTCAGGTCAATTTCGCGACCTCCCCATTATAAGTCAATGGGGGAAAAATCAACTCCCTGTTTTTACCACTAAAACGGGTCGGAATGGCCCCATATACCATGCATGACTTCATATACGATCAACCTTCACTACCTTGATGTCTGTTTTGCTGTTGGGCAGCTGTAAGGTCATGTGACGTCATCAAAGGTCACCAACGGTTTTTTGCCAATAACTCCGTACAGGAACAAGATACAGCCGCGCGGATGGTCTCATTGTGTTCAGCTCATCAAGACGCATCGAATGATATACATGATGACCTCGAGGTCACGTGACCTGAGGTCAACCTTTGACCTTGACCTTTTGAGGTCAACATATATATCATTCGATGCGGATTGACGAGAGGATCACGATGATGCCCTTAGTTTGTTTCTATCTTGACTAATTCGAAAGTTATTCGAGAAAAACACTCTCCATATCTAGCGCCGCCATTTTGACTTTTTCGACCCCTGTGACGTCATCTTTGACCTGACCTGAAAATGACCTTAGTAAAAATTGTAGACCTTGTCCGTGCGTATCCGATGCCGTTTACCGCTTGTCGCTATCTTGCTTTGTTCTCGAGATCTCAGGGGGGGCGGTCATCCGCCCCCCCGTCGGTGCGAAGTTGGCGCAGACCCCCGTCGGTGCGCGGTCCCGCGAGTTGCTGGGGGGGGGGGCGTTAAACGCCCCCACTTCTTTCGCCGGGCCATAGTATAAAAACGGCGCGCCGCAGGCGCGCCAAATTTTTGGTACCTGTAGGGAATTGATTGCAGTTTATTGTGACAAAGTTTCAAAAAAAATCGGTCGGAAAAATTTTGAGATATCGAGGTTTTAGTGACGTCATGATTTCTGAGTTTTCGACCAAAAACGGCATATGTTCAAAAAATCATATAAAATCACAGAATAGACATACAGACATGCCGTAAACGCCATTAGACTGCCAATACCATGAACAATCAAATGACTATCTTCGATTATTGATTATCGTTCCGCATTTTCCAAAATCTTGAACTGAATCTCGGCAATTTCTCGTGACTACTTCACGACCATGATACATGCATTTCTTAAATTTAACTTTTTGAGCCAAACACGTACACATATGATAAAATGAATGTCACCATCGTGTTCTACGCCCCAAATTACCCGTCAAACATGTGTCACAGGCTGCGAATATCAGTTTTGATTTTCGGGGATATGTGCCTACCCGGTTGACCTGACCTTGACCCTGACCTATGCTTGACTGACCCCTACATGGAGCTGACACTCTTGTAGGCCTTATATGATGGATTGTGCACCGTTTTGACAGAGTTTATGACGAGAGGCGCCCATTGCGAAGTCCTGAAGTCCATGCTACTGAAAGCCCGATTTCAGGTGTTTGACCTGACCTTGACCCGACCTGTGACCTCAAAATTCAACTTTAAAGTACTCATCTGAAGCGTCTCGTCGCGTTCTTTCGTTTGCCGCCTCGTGCGTTTCGCTGCGCCTATTGGTTCTCGAGTTATCGGCTGGGGGCGTTTAACGCCCCCCCCCCCAGCAAACAGTGGGTGGCGAAATACCCCAGCAACTGCCGGGTTAATGAAATCGGCCGCAGGAGGGGTACCGCCGTGTCGGAAGGTGGGTCACGTGTACCTTCCGAACGCCGCCCAAAGACGACATGGTACGGAACACTGCTTCGTCCCACGCAAGGTCTGATCGACTGCATTACATGCATGGTCCTCTCATTCTGTAAGCACGTATTCCATGTACCCAGCGGAATCTCGCTGCATATCCAATCTTTCACCAGTCTGAGCAGTGAGTGAGCACCCGTATTGCAGTCACCAAATCTGCAGTGAGTGAGCTCCACGTTGAACGTTCGCACCAGTCACCAGGCATTTCACATCGGGGAAATTATCGCTCAGACCGCTGCACCATGTGCTGGCTGCAGGCCCCATCACATACGGTAACGCCAATATTATGCAAAGCCAGCCCTCGTCACGCCGCCATAGTTAGTGTGTACTGCGAGGGAGCTCCATGTCGCACGTGGCCGGGCGCCCTTCTCGGTATACCACCGTCACCAGAAGTGACGTTACTAGAATGTCATCGGCTCTCGGTAAACGGACACATGCCAGGCTCCCAGCCACGAGCCGCGTGTTTATTCTGTCGCGGTGATGGGGAAATCAGTCGTGTCTCATACGAGTTCATCCTTATGAGACGAACCAACAGTTCCTTGGGGGAGTGGGTGCACGCTGACGTGCCGTTATCGACTTAGCCATGACACTGGCATGTATGTTTTCTGCACGATATTAGTGACGTAAATTTAAAAGAATTGCTTAATCAAACCAAATACGAATGAAAATCATGGGAATTTACCGAAAACTGCACTCCCTTCCTATTAGGGAAAGTATTATCCTTCCTTCCTAATACCAACCCTATTAGGGTTGGGACCTATCTCCACACTCTGTATGTTTTGGTAAAATAAGAAAGCTGAGAATTTTTCATGATTTAATTTAAAATCATTTTGTTTAAAAAATGCCTAGTTAGCTCAGAAATTAATTATTTGTGACTGAAAACAACTTGCTTCTGATTGGTCGGGCTAATCATGACGTCACATGTAGGTATATAACTGTCTGTATATTTGGCGCAGTTGAGACATATATTTTCTATGTATTTACCTATGGTAAATCGGAGTGATTGGTCGTGTTTTCAGTGTTTCCTTATTTTGCGCTGGTATTGCGTGGCTAAGAAATTTTATCAAGAGTAACATATACTAAAATGTTCCTTTAATAGTGGAGCTTCAATATACGTGAGTTTTCTTGGCAAGCGAAAACTGATTTCGCTGTTATTTTATCTGTAAATTACTCATTTTTTAGGTCAATATTCAAAATAGTTTACGGGAACAAGTTGGCACTTCTCTTGATTTTTGCACTCAAATCGCGTGCGACTCAACTGTATTGGAACTTGCAAAGAAGCTTGGTGATTAATTAACTGTGTTGTTATGGCACTGTTTGCAAATCATGGATAATGAAACTGTGCCAACGGACTTAGCTACATAGCTAGCAATGCCTCAAGTAATACGCAGGAGGGACAGAATTCAGAGTCCGATCGAGAAGAATCGGTGCAAATGCTACGAGGACCAGGCAGCTCTGATACTGGCTAGTCGTCTCACTCCATTAGACCAGCTGATTCCTGACAGCACCGACTCTGATGCAAAGATGGAGCTCATCTTCCAAGCCAGAAACCAGATCTTTGATGGAAGATGTGGCCTCTGTCTCTGCTTTGTTGGCCACTTTGGACGGGGCCGAGCTCCGCTCCTTGCGTGAGCGGCTATTCGCCTGTCATCCAGAAATAGTTCCTTCGTTTGCTGGCCGTTCCCTGATCAGGTGCAATACAGGGAGCTGTAATCAGGGATGTAACTTTCCATATGAAAGGGGTGCAGGTGCACCCCCGTCCCCCATCCACTAGAAGTGCACCCCCATCAAGTCAAAGTGCACCCCCATAGGCTAAGCGGTGCCCCACACGCCGCCCCACACCGATTAGCTCTAGAGCAGATGGCGAGGGTGATTTCCCGGCTACATTCCATCTCGGCGTCGTGATGCTTGTGGGCTTGGAAAGCGTCCAGTCGTATGTAGGGTAGTATAGGGGTAGGGTTGAGTTCAATAAGGTCCTTACATTTGAAAGGTTTGAACAACCCGCAATCAGCACAACATATACCACAAGTTAAATAAAAAACTACCAAACTCCGCCCAACTAATATTAATAAACATTACAGCCAAACAAATGGCCTAAATAAAAATATATCTCAAATCCTAACAGTTATCGCGGGTGATGGCGCCATGAGTTGCTATTATCCAAAACAGATGCAAATAAACATGTTTGTATGTTATATGTATGTTTGTTTTAAAAACGTTGCAGCGGCGCTGGGAACTGCACTCTTAGATCTAGGTATGTTTGGCATCTGCAACTCTTCATCTACACATTAACCCTATTTCGGACGGGGGAGGCCTTTCATGATTTTCTTGTACAATTGTCAAACGCCGCGAGACATTCAGCTCATATTTGGTGACTTTTCCTAAATGCTCATTGCGCACATCT